GCAGCGCCAGTACTCCAGTCCGTGTAGTTGTTTGTCTCTCCACCGGAACTCCCCGCCCCTCGCGCCCGCCAGCCTAAATACGCCTCCCACCCAGCCCCGCCCCATCTCTGGCCCCCTTTCACCTCCAGCCCAGTTCCAGCTTTGACCTTACACAGACCCCGCCCTTCATCCATAGGTTTGATGTTTAGTGGTCCATTTAAACAAAAGTAGCCAGGAATCAAGTATACTTGTGGACATGCAGTTGAATGAAGAATACATTAATAACATATACTTCATAAAATGAAAGATAATTCTGAAAAAGAACTTGTTTGGACAATACAAATAAAATACACAAACTGGGAGAAAATATGAATTACCTTAAACATTGGGGATCAAATGTTTTGACAGAAGATCAAAAGAGAAAGAATGGGAAAAGATACATAGGATGGTGCAAAAGTAGCTTTAATCAGAAACATAAATCACATGAAAATTACAGAATAATATGCAGTAGACTTCGAGGTAAAAAGCAAGACTAGAGATGATGAGTGCTTCACTTCAAAAAGCTTAATTTACCCGGAAGATCCAAATTCACCATGTACTTAATGTCATAAACTGAAATTGTATAGAACAGAGACACAAAGAAAACTTTATAATCATAACAGATTTAACAAACCTCTCTCATCCAAGATAGAGCACACCTCTTTCAGAAGCAAGAGACCACTTCACAAAATTCAGTAAGGGTGTAAGAAACACCATGAGCAGCAAATTGGATTCAACATTCACAAAGAACCAACCAACTAGACACAACTTTTCCTGCTGACCTACACTAAAGTGTTATTCCAAAAATGAACACAAGATGGCAGCAGACTGCACTACCAAAAAGCTCCTGTCTATAGGAGCTTTTTTCTCCAGTGACCTCATTGTAAATGAGGTCAAATGTAAAGTTTCATGCTATCATTGCACCTAATCTAGCAATCAGTAATAACAGATAACTAGAACGTCCTTATATTTAAAAATTATAAAATACACTTCTAAATAACCCGCAAATTAAATTACAATTGCAGTTAAAAAATAATTTGAAATGAATGATAATAAAAATAGTACATAAAAAACACTCTGGGAAATTTGTATTGATAAATCCACACATTAGGGACAGAGCCTGAAAATTCACAAATTTTGCATCATCTTACAGACCCAGAATAATAAATTAAATCCAGAGAAAGTGGAAAAATGGAAATATGCAAGTAGTGATATCTGAAAGGGTATACACTTTGTTTCATTAAATGATTTTTTATTGTTATTCTATTACACTTTCCCAACTCTTCCCTTTTGCCCTCCTCCACCTATTCCAGCCCACACACTCCCTCCTTCTTTAGAAGCATATATACTTAATATTGTTGCGGAAAATCACCCACACTCAGGAAGGAAATGAAGCACAAACTTTATTACCTGGGGGCTCAGAGAGGTTAAATTCCCCAAAGTCTCTGAGCAACAAGGCAAGCTGAAGTTTCCTTTAAATACTTGTTAAAGGCAAAAAGGAGGGGGGCGGGATTCATCTGCTACACCAAGCAAGCATACAGAAGCAGAAGCGAAATGAAGGTCAGTATTTTGGCCTTGAGATAACTGTTACCTTGGTAACGGTCTGCCCAGCTCATTATCTAAAAATAACTTTTACTCAGCTTTGTCCTGATAAATCTTGCAGGTGTTACAGAGAGCACTGTTTATCAAAGAAGCTACAGAGCATAGAAACTTTTATGGGGCTTTCTTTTCCTGCCACAATATAACAGCAGATATTACCTGTTTGGGTAGGATTTTCAATTATTTTTATTTTTATATATAATTTAAGTAAGCAGCAACAACAACAAAAAAGGCTGTCTCAGTTTGGGCTTAAAAAGTACTACAGGAAAACACAGCATAATTTAAAAATAATAATAATCTAGTCTGTTGTGGTGACAACACCAGAGGCCTTTTCTTTGCTCACCTAGCCTGATCTCATTGTTCAGAGGGCCTCCTTTTTCAGTTTTCACTTCTTCATGTGCGAATGCAGCCAGCGGAGCAAAGAGGAAATGAAGGTCTAGATGAGAAGTCCTGTCGATGAGCAGAGAAGCCCTAAGCAGCACAGCAGGAGAGGGAGTTTCCCCCAGGGCTGCCTCACCTCAGGGCCTCCTCACAGGTCTGATGCTACTAACTAAGAAGCAGCACTACTAAGTTGATACACAGTGTTGTTGTTGGGAGAGACCTGCTTCTTCTTACTGACGCATGTAAAGAATTATATATCAGCAAATCTAATAGTATGTAATCAGTTTATTATTGGCCTGTTCCCATGGAAGAGAACAGGACTGGACAGAGTAGGGGAATGAAAGGCAAAGTTTCAGGGCAAAGCAAAGGAACAAAAGCAAGAGTGGCTGAAGACCAGGGTGGCAAGCCCGTGGGCAGCCTGAGGCCCAGTGGCCAGAAGCCTTGTGACTTGAGAGCCAAGAGCACCCCAAGCCTGGGCGGGGGGAGGCGGTGGAGATCGCTTTGTTCTGAGCACTTATGTAGTTGGTGGGATGGGTGGAAAAAAAGTTACAAATTGATTAACCGGTAAATGCGGTGCCAGCTTTCCCGGGGGAATGTGACTACCCACACGTAGGTATGTGTAAGGGTCTGATAGTCCCAATCCTTATCTTGTTCCAGACCCTATTTTTTCACCTTGTTGTAGAACAAATATGTGACAGGAGGCAGTTAATTAAAATCGGGGCACTTTCCACGGTTATTTATGGCCTCTTTCTGTGAGCATCAGGGACTCCCTCCTAAAACAGATAGTGACCAGAGGTAGGCAATTAACCAAAGTTGTTTTATGGGCTCTTTCTTTGGTCACCGGGGACCCTCTCCCACATTAAGGCCTTGGGATGAAAGCAGTTTCAAGGCTTTCTTTCCCAGATAGTGGAAATGTTACATAGAATTTCAAGGACTTCCCTTCTTTCTTGCTAATATAGTGTTTCTTGTGATATTGAAACACCTGGCAATATTATCAGAACAGGCTTAGGACTGCTGAATTAGCCTGTGAGACTTGTCTCCTTCCTCCTCCCTGCCTCGATTTACTATTTATTCTACCTAATTGGTAAAAGGTGTTTCCTGGCAACCAGGCTGATAAATGCTGGCCAGTGACAGTATTGCAGTCTCAGAGTTCTTCCTATGCTGTCTCCTGCTTCAACAGTGTGAGCAAACCATAAGTTAACAATTACTCTTCTACTGAAAACTTTATATCTGTTATTATGTGTTGGATAAAATACATGGAACATACTTCATTTCATACACAGGGAAGCATAACTAGGGGGAAAATTTTAATACTTTTCTTTTCATTTCATTTATTAATTTGAAAGAGAGAGAGACTTAGTTGTTCCTCTTATGTATTCATTCATTGGTTGCTTCTTGTAGGTGCCCTGGCTGGAGAATGAACTGACCACCTTGGCATATAGGCAGGACACTGTAACCAACTGAGCTACCAGGCCAGGGACACTAGGAGAAAATTTTGAAAAGTGGAATTTCTGGATCAGAGGGTATGAGGATGTTATTTCTGGATGGCTATTCTCAAAATGATCACTGGGGAGTCTGCACCAAAGGACCCTTCCCCAAGTCTTTCAGAGCAAGGACATTGCACCTGCTTGCTCATCAGCCTCAGAGATGTCAGGAGTCCTCTGGATCCCCATACGGGCCACCAAATTATGTTGACCTTAAAAATATAGCTGTCAGTTATTTTACCAGCAGATAAGGGGTTTATTCGGAAACAGTAAAAAAATTGCAATTTAGGACAAGCAAGCTGTAGCAAAAATCATAGGCCACCTCCACAAGTAAAAGAGAGGAACGTTATTTTACAGGCAGAAAGGAGGAAGTTGGGAGGGGTCACTTCAAATGAGAGTGCACTGCAGAAAAGTGTCAGTTCAGTGTGACGATGGCTTCTCTCTGGCTGAGTTGCTGGGGAGTTGGTTTCTCCTGGGAGCACACAGTATCATCTTCATGTTGGGGCCTGTGACAGACAATGTTTCCTGTAATTGACCCTGGGTGGTGCTATGTGACAGCATCCCCACTGACCCCCAACTCCACTTCAGTGAGGTTTCCCTTTATGCAGTTTCACAGTAATAATTACAGTTAGTTGGCTCATTTCAGGTCCATGGAAATCAAGTTATATTTACATGCTCAAAACGAGGTAAGGACCAGAAACACTCTTCCCACCTTATCCCGTGAAAGCCAGTAGCAGCTAAACTGACCCTGCTCTGTGGACCCCTGCACTCAAATTTTACGTTATTTTTAACCAAAATACTTGTAGGTTTGTCCAGCATTTCTAAATGTATTTAGTTTTGTTTGGTTTTATCCTGTCTTCCTATTCCTGAAATGTTTTTACACCTGAGTTACTTAAACACACCTATCAATCATAACACCACTTCCTTGAGACATGAAATTCTCCCAGTGTGTTTTCCAGTATACTTATTATTCTATTTGTTGTGTTTACATATTTGAGTCCTCTGGAACTTATTTTGTGTCTATGAATTGCGTGCTCAAAATTCACTGACTTAAGTTTCCACAGAACGCAATGCAGTCTTGACCGTGTCCTCACTGCTTAGGCAGCTCTAGCTGAAAGTGGGTTTGAAAAGGGAGTGAGGGAGCACGGACGGGCCTAGATGTGAGTTGGGGATCCCGACCACAGTCTGGAGGAACAAAGACACTTTGTCAGGCGGCAGGAGGGCCACGTCCACTTGAAGGTCCGGCCCAGCTCAGGACTCCCAGCTCCTGCGGGGCGGACCCCTCTCCAGCTGCGGGAAAACGAGCCCTGGAGCTGCAGGCTGCTGACTGGCGCTCGGGAGACCCAGGGTAGCCAATCCCCACGGGGTGGTGCGGGTCTTCCGCTGGCCAGTCCGGCACCCAGGGGGCTCCGCCCCTCTGCCCCGCCCTGTCAGCTTCTTCTGGCCGCCCATTGGCGGGCAGGGCCCAGGGATCCCAGCTCTGATTGGCGGATTGTGCCCCCGCGGCTGTCCAGGATGGAACCTCCTCCCGAGGGCGGGAAGCCCAGGAGCCGGGAGAGGACGCTGCACTGAGGTGGGCGGCGCGGCAAGGACCCCGGGAGACGGACCGGTAAGCGGGGGGCCCTGCCCTGTGGAACCCTTAGCCCGAGACCTCCCAAACCAGCCAGAGAGACCCCAGATGCCCTCATCCCGAGGGGCCCCCAAACCCCTTCAGCACCGAGGGGCGCGTCCGCTAACCCGGAGGACCCCACGTCTCCTGACCCCCAACACTCAGACCCCCAAACAGCCTGGAACCCCAGTTCCCCTCAGCTCGGGGCGCCCTTCCTGCAGCCCGCCCGCCCGGAAAGTCCAAATCTCCCCAAACGCAGAGACCCCGAATGCCGTCGTCCTGGAAACCGACTCAGTGGAGGGGACCCGGACGCCCCTCGTGAGACGCCCCAACCCCCCTCAGCCGCGGCGGTCTGGCCCTCTCCCCCGGGACGCTGAGTGTCCTCCGCCCGAAGACGCAGATCGAGTCCTGAGGGACCCCGAGCCTCTCAGCCCGAGAGACGGCGGAGTGCCGGACACTGCGCCTGCGCCTCGCGCGGGCGCCTCCGGGCCCCGGGGGGTCCTCCGGGCCCTTCCCTGGGAGAAGCGCGTTTCCTGCGCCGCCACAGGCCCGCCAACGGGGTCCTCAGACCCCCGGCCGGGTCTACGGAGCCCGCGCTGAGGCGGCGCGCGGGAGGAGTGGGGCCGGAACAAGGGCTGCTCGCCCGGGCCCACCCAGCCCCTCCGTCCCCCTCTCCGGGCGCCCTGTCCACGGAGAGAAAGGCCGGTACCGGGACGTGAAGGTGAAGAGAAACTCGGCTCACCAGCCCAGGTAGCGCGTGCGCAGGCGCTGGGCCGGCTCCGACTCTGGCGGCGCCATCCGCCTGCAGCTCCCTCCGCCTGCAGCTCCCTCCCGCACGGACACCGATGGGGGGAGTTTGCCCCGTTGTGTCAGAGCGGGGCCGGCGCTGACGGTGCGGGGTGCGGGGCTCACGGCAACTCGCTGCAGACTCTCCCGTCCCATCGGAGCCAGTCCCACGGGCTTCCTGGGCTTGTCCCTCCCCCACGCTCTCTGCTCCAGGACAGAGGTCTTGTCTCTTCCCAGGTCTCTGGGCCCTGCCGACCGGCTTTCCTGGGTCACCGCCGCAGGCAGGCGGGCCACCGAGCTCCAGGAGGAGGACCCTGAGGACTCTGATGAAGAACGGGCCCCGAGGCAGCACGGTGAGCGGCGGGAGGAGCCAGCGCTGCCCTCCCGGCTCGGACCTGGTGTGGGTCGGGCGGCGTCTCAGGACGTCACCAGGGAACAGGTTTGCTGGTGCAGCGAACAAGCAAGAGGCACAGCAGTGTGTCGCACAGTGACGGGGCTGTTCCCGTCAACTTTCACGTGGGCAACGTAATCACATGTATTTATAGACGCATTAGTAAGCAGTGAATGTGTAAGAACATAAAGTGAGCGAGAAATAACTAATTCAGAAGAGTCGTCATCGCAAGAGAGGGAGGCGGGTCTGGCCGGTGAGGAGGGTCCCCACACCTGGCCGCGCGGTGGCCCGCATGGAGACGGACGGGGACAGTGTTAACCCTGGTGATGACGGGAGTGGGGGAGGGCCAGGGTCGGGAGGGGTTGACCTCCGTGTGGTTTCCTGATGTCGGCCCCATGTTCCGTCCAGTATCGTGAGTGTTCGGAGGGTGGGGTCGGTCCACTTCCATGGGTCTGGGGTTGACACACAGCTGAGGTCAAGATGTGATCTTCAACTTCACTGGAATTCTGTTTCTGGGGTCAGCACACTGTGGGTGCTGACCGGAGTCTAATGACTGAGGAAGGGCGTGGGTGGCCGGTATGTGCCCAGGGGGAGGGATACCAGAGAAAGGAGGCCGGGTGGTCCAGGTGCCCTCAGCCGGGACAAGGCCAGTTTGAATGAAGAAAACAGGACGGAGAAAGGGTTATGTTGAAGACGCAGAGTTTCTGTGCAGTTACTTATATTACATTTTTGTCAGGAGAGGCCAATTTATTTTTTAATAAACGTAATAAATGCTTTATGAACATAGGTGAAGCATAGATGACATTTTGTGTATGTTTTTTATCATTCCAATGAAATTAGTGGATGGCCCCAATAGAAGCCTAGGCCTTAATGATACCTCAGAAAACATTTTCCAATCATCCTGGGATTGTTCTTGGATTACTCGTGTTACGGAAAATAACTCACACACGGGAAAGATGGCAAGGCACAAACTTTTATTATGTGTGGGCCTCAGAGGGGTTAACTACCCAAATTCTGAGCAAAAAGCTTAAGCTGGAGTTTCCTTTAAATACTTGTTACAAGGCAAAAAGGGAGGGGGAAACAACTGCGATGCGCAAGCATGCAGAAGCAGAAGCGAAGGTTAGTGCTTTGGCCTTGAGGTAACTGTTGCCTTGGGAACAGCTGCTGGTCAGCTCCTACCTAAAAATAGCTACTGGTCACCTATGTCCTGTCACGTTAAAACAAGGCACTGTGAAATTCTGCAGGTGGTACAGAGAGCACTGCTTATCAGAAGCTGCAGAGCATAGAGGCTTTTTCATGGGGATTTCTTTTCCTGCCACACTCTCATTCACAATTCTGTGTCCCTAATAAGAATCTCCAGATTCTGGAAACATTTACCAACCAAAACACTGATTTCTTGTCATCTTTCAGTGAAACCTTGAGTGGCCTTCAGAAGAGAACGCAGTAAACACCAGAAGGTGAGTATTTCCCAAATCCTGTTGACAACAAAATTTTCCTCACAGATAGAAATGCAGGTAAGAGCAGGGAAATGCAGAGAGTATCTTAGGAACTGCCACCTTCCTTTCCTGGTCTCTTCTACATACTGTCCAACATTATCATCCTTTTTAAAAGATTTTATCTATCAATTTTCTAAAGAGAGGGGAATGGAGAGAGAAAGAGAGGGGACAAACATGAATAGGTTGCCTCTCACACGCCCCCAAGTGGGGGGCCTGGTCCACAGCTCAGGCATGTGCCCTGACCGGGAATGGAACTGGTGACCTTTCAGTCTGCAGGCCAGCGCTTAATCCACTGAGCCACATCATCATCTTAATGGTTAACAACTACAGCAGCAATAGTAACTACCATTTGTTTCATTCTCATAATGTTTCAGATTTTAGGAATTCTATGTGAATTACCTCACACATATAACCAGCTGATGAGGAAGGTACTGTAACTGTCACCATTTACAATGAGGAAAGTGATCTTTCAGAGATATAGAAATGTTTGACTATATGTCTAAGATCACAGTATCAGTGCTTGTGCAGTCTAATCCATAGTTTCTTCTCTAAACCACTTACAAACTCATTAAAACTTTCATAGTTTTTCCCTGGCCAGCGTGAATTGGTTGGGTGTTATCCTGCAAAGCAAAAGATCACCCGTTTGATTCCTGGTCAGAACGCATGCCTGGGTTGTGGGCCAGGTTCCCAGTGGGGGTATTTGTGAGAAGTGACTGATCACTGAAACATCTCTCGCATCGATATTTCTCTCCCTCTTTCTCCCTGCCTTCTTCCCCTCGCTCAAAAAAATAAAATCTTTCAATTAAAAAATAAAACTTTCATAGTTTTCTAAAGTTTACATTGTCTTATATATGTCAATACATCATTCATCTGACTGACGGTTTCAACCAAAGTTCTTCTCTGCTATGCTGAAGTGAGAGATGCACTATACCCTCTGACTAAGGAAAGTGTACAATGTGCAGGCAGTTGGTACAGAGGATGGCCCCAGGTGAAGAAGAATGTAAAATGTCCAGGATCAGAGCCTCCCACTCTAATCAAAGAGCATCTCCTACCTGTGACGAGCTTCAGGTTTGATGACTGAGGAACAACAAATAATAAAATAACTTAAGGGCTTCATATAGGTTACACACTCCTCAACAGAAACTCATCTGTCTGGAACTCATTTCAAATGCCCTTTCTTATTGGGTAAAGTAACAGCTTCTTTGTCTGAGTTCCAATGAAGCCACTCTCATCCTGTTTAGAATCATTTGTTCAGCCTGCCTACCTCTGTGTTGTGAGCTCTTTGAGAGCCTGGTCCATACCTAAGTCTTCTCAGAGGTCTCAGGCCCAGATTAGGGCTCCTGAGATCCCCCGAATGTTTGCTGAGTGAATGATTTCACGATTACAAAATGAACTAGAAGATGATTAATGAACACTGAAGGTAATTTCTGTGAGACTGAAATATGGAGAGAGCTGAGGGGTAAATTGATAGCAGAACCATTCATGCTGTATTACATAATTCACAGGACACTTTGTTGAACATTATTTAATTGCATGTTCACTATAACATTAAAAATTGACATGTTATATATCAGGACACTAAAGACAACTAGCTACTGGTATAGCCTTCTTCAAACATTTGGTGGGAACCAGCTAATCTAAGTACAAATATTCTTTCCAAGGTATTGCAAACTTTATCACCATTTTATTTATTGTCTACATATGTTTCTGCCAACTATTTCTGTATTCTCTTCCCCATATCCCTGACTCTCAATATTATAGAGACAGTTGAAAGAAAAGGGCCATAAGCATGGGTTCTAATCTTGGATTCATTACCCACATTGGCCCTATCCCTCTAATATTCATACTCCCTAGATATTTCCGAGGGTTGAAGTATTAAAGACATGCATGTAAGATATATAATAACCCTTAAAACAATAAATACATGCTATCTTTCAATATGTGACTCTTACATTGAAGGCAACATCCAGGGTGCCATTAAACAAGGAATATAGTTTGAAGGAATTGTCAGGAACAGCAAATTGGATGACTGCAAGTGACTCAGAGCATGCCCAGAAACCAGTGTCCCCTCCTGGAGAAGCATGTGCCTTTGAAAAGCACACTAGACAAAAATTGGGTAAGAGAAAATAATTTGGAAGCTTTAGTTCCTCTAAGTCCTATAGAAGGGCTGATAAGTATGACCTAGGTATGTGGGGTGGACTTTGGGTAGGCCTGGATTTAAGCTGGGATAAGCTGAAGACTGAAGTTACCACTGGACCTTTGGGAAAATCCTATAAATTCTCTGAGCTCCGGAATGCTAATGTGTAAAGTGAAGATAAGGAAACATCATTCATATATTGTTTGAAAACATTAAATTGAATTTAAAACAGGTGACACATACAAGTTGTCCAATAAATCCATCTGTGATACTAGCAACCACACTTTATTGGTGTTGAATGCCCAGGCCTTTACTCAATGCCTAAAATGTAATGTGCACTCCATAAATATTTCATGAATGATTAAAGATTGGCAAGTAAAATGGGAAAGATTGGCTGGTAATGGGAAAATCTAGAAACTAAAATTGAATCAGTCATCTGTAGTTAGAGTCTTAGTCTTTTGAACCAATAGTTAATGGAATAAAATACCAGAGTATGCAAAAGGACAGATAATAATTTGATGGGAGGAGATTGTGTTATCTGACAAAATGAGAACTAATACTCCACACCACACCAACCTCGCTTACTTACCTGGCCTTCTCCAACTTAGAACTCAGAGGAAAGGAGATGGACGTGAAGGTGTACATCCTACAAGAAAGAAAGGGCCATGTGTACCAAGAGGTCACCGAGCCCCAGGATGATGACTACCTTTGTAAGTGACCCTCACTAAGAAGCATATTGTGATACAATAATTTTATCTAGTCCTGTGGTCCCCAAATCATCCCCTTCCTCTAGTGACATAGGGTACAGGATTGAGTCTCAATGATGTCAGTGATGGACTCCTTCTGAAGCTCTTTGTGCCCAGGAACATGCGCTAAACCTTCCCTAACCCCTGTTGCTCTCACCTCCAGATTGTGAGAAGTGTCAGAACTTCTTCATCGACAGCTGTGCCATGCATGGGCCACCTACATTTGTAAAGGACACTGCAATGGACAAGGGGCATCCCCACCGCTCAGCCCTCACCCTGCCCCCTGGGTTGAGAATCGGCCCATCGACCATCCCTGAAGCTGGGCTTGGAGTGTGGAATGAGGCAGCTGACTTGCCAGTGGGTCTGCTCTTTGGCCCTTATGAAGGACACATCACAGAAGATGGAGAGGCAGCCAAGAGCAGATACTCCTGGCTGGTGAGAACTACCTACCTCCCCCACTGTCCTCTGGCTTCCCACATGCCTTCTGAGGCTTGGAGGGCCCTCTCCTATTACGTGCTAGACATGGAGGGGACAATGTCGTTAGCTCTGTGTACTGACTGGACTTGCCATGAACACAGAGCTCCAGTTTAAGGATCAGAAGGTAAGCGGGAGCAAAGTGGTGCAGACACAAAAGAGTGGCTCCTCCATTGTGGGGCTCCTGCTCTGATTGGACAGGTAGACTCGGATGTGTAGACGATGAGTAAGACCAATATCATGTGGTCACAGTTGGCAGTCGAATCCCCATGCACGATGGAAGAGCTTTGATGACAATAGAGTAAAATAATTCTTCTGACTATTACCTCCCCACAAAAAGAATAAAAAGTCTTTAACTTTTTTTCTGAAACACAGATCGCCAAAGGGAGAAACTGCTATGAGTATGTGGATGGAAAGGACAGGTCCTGGGCCAACTGGATGAGGTGAGGTCAACAGGTCTCTGGGTGCCAGAGGGGACTCTCATCCCCCACAAACCCATATAGCTTTCCCTCTCATCATGCCTCCCTCAGTGCTCTCCTTTAATCCTTTTTTTCCTCTTTTTCTCCATACAGTGTTCTTTCATTTCAGGGGACATTGAGGGGAAAAGTACAGCATACGTCCTCAAAATGTAAAGCTCTCTGCTAGACACAATGTGGACACTGGAAAGGACCTTGAAGAGCCTAGATTCACCAGAGACACTAGATTACACTTTAATTTATCAAATGAGCATTAATTAAACACTTATTTAATTCCAGTTTAAATGGAGGAACACATTACTTAAACAGATCACACAACCCCTGTCCTTATGGTAGACTTCTTGCAGACAGACATAAAAAAATTGCTTTTAGAAGCATTTAACTATAATTTCCAAGAAGTGCACCGTGTCAAGATAGCACCAACCAAGGGTGGCCTGAACCTGTGAGGGCAGCAAACCATCCTGGCCTGCCTTCTAACTAGAGCTGGGCTCTGAGGCCTGAAAAGGAATGGCCATGCGCCCCTTTCCTGAGAGGGGCTCTCTTTTATCAAGGATAACAGAATGTGAATCAACTACTACTGTTCTGTTTTTGTTTTACTAAGACAAAAAGACCTGCAATTTTCTATGGTAACCTTGGGCAGGGAAGTGAATGATACTCTAAATAAAGTGTAAGGGGGATGGAGAAAGGCCTCTCAAGAGAAAACAGACATGGGCTGAGTACTGGATAATTGGTGAGCTAATTTAGAATCAGAGCCCTCAATCGAGCACCAGGTTCTATGGTGTGAGACAACTTGGTTTAGAGCTTGGAGAAGCAAGATATCACTGGATATTATGGCCAGTCAGGGTGGAGGTTAAGTCTAGAGCTGGGTTTTAGAAAATGGTGTTAGGCAGGATGAACACTTGCAAGCAGGACTTGGAGGCAGGAATTCACATGACATGCTGACGGACGCTCAGACACTGAACAAAGGTTCCCGGAAGCATTAGGGGCAGTGGGCAACACCAGAGGCTAATGGGCCTTAAGAATCAGTGAGGAGTTGGACATGGATGTAACAGGTACCAGGAATGCATCACTGTGGTTTTCTTTCCCTTCATCTGCCTTAATCCCAGGTATGTGAACTGTGCCCGGGATGATGAAGAGCAGAACCTGGTGGCCTTTCAATACCATGGGCAGATTTTCTACCGAACCTGCCGGGTCATCAGGCCGGGCTGTGAGCTGCTGGTCTGGTTCGGGGACGAGTATGGCCAGGAGCTGGGCAGCAAGTGGGGCAGCAAGTGGAAGAGACAGCTCATGTCTGGGAGAGGTGGGCACCACTGTTCTTCAAAACAGAAAGAAAAGAGAGAATTCTCTATAAAATAGTCACAATCCAACTCTTAAGTAGAGTAAAATCCACTCTAAAGTCAGTAAAGTTTCAACTCAGATGCTTCAGAAATTCACAATTCATTCATATGCCTTTGACTCTTAGGTAAAATTTTTATATTTTTCATTTTTAAAATATTTCATGAACAAAATACACAACTGCATATAGTACTGAAATACTGAGAGGCTCAAAAAAAAAAGTTTTCAAGCACTAACCAGTTTTCTCACCAAGGCAGTTTTTCTGACACTTTTATAGCTGTTTCTTCTTAATTTTCCTCCATGCTTCTAAATAAAACGTTTTTGTTTATAGGCATTCATTATTTTTTAAAGATTTTTTTCCCTGGCTGGTGTGACTGAGAGGATTGAGCACCAGCCTGTGAACCAAAGGGCTACCAGTTTGACTCCCAGTTGGGGCACATGCCTGGGTTTTGGGCCAGGTTCCCAGAATGGAGCAAGTGAGAGGCAACCACACATTGATGTTTCTCTCCCTCTCCTGCCCTCTCTTCCCCCTTTTCTGAAAATAAATAAATATATAAATAAAATCTTTTTAACCAAGATTTTACTTATTTTTACAGAGAGTGGAAAGTATGTAGAAAGAAAAACCAGTGTGCAAGGGAAATATTAATCGGTTGTCTATGGCATACCCCTAACTGGCCCACAACCCTTCCATGTTCCCTGACTGGGAATCAAACTTACAACCTTTCAGTTTGTGAGACAACACCCAACCCACCAAGCCACACCATTCAGGCCGAACACATTCGTTCATTATTTCTGTGAATTGTCGGGCAAGATCCTACTCTGTGGCACACAGGTCCTGGGACATGGCAGTACAGATTAATATGAGGATGAGAATCACTGCTCTTGAGGAGCTGACCAATAACGGAGGAAAACCCATGCACACGTACTTGCATGTGCATAACACTACACAGGGGCTAGTGCTTTGGGGAAAACTAATCCAGGACAAGTGCCTAGGGATCAGTGTGAGGGGACGTGCCGTATAGCACGTGGGCTGGGAAGGGCTCTCTCCAGAGATAACATTTACAAAAATACCTGCGGGTACAGCATCCCAGGCAGAGGAAGCAGGTAGTGCAGGGAAGAAAAGAGGTGGGGCATTGAACTGGCTGAGGGTCACTCAGGTCTTCTCTCAGCAAGGAGAGTAAGAACACATCATATAGATGCTTAGTAGTCCAGAAATGCAGTGCCCATGACCCGAGTTGAGACACTGGGGACTTAGAATTCTGAGTGCAAGTGTGCAGTCAGCTGTAGAGGGGTGTGTTCTCTGTTCTGATTATGCTTTGTTAATTTTTAGAAAATAAACTCCAACCCTGGCTGGTGTAGCTCAGTGGATTGAGCTCGGGCTGTGAACCAAAGTGTCACAGGTTTGAATCCCAGTCAGGGCACATGCCTGGGTTGCAGGCCACGGCCCCTAGCAACCACACATTGATGTTTCTCTCACTCTTTCTCCCTCCCTTCCCTCTCTAAAAATAAATAAATAAGATCTTAAAAAAAAAAGAAAAGAAAAGAGACTCCAGTGGGGAATCCCCTCAGAGATCAATTCATCTCCAAGTGAGAGAGCATGGTGGATTGGTCAGAGAGGAATAGGAGTCAGAGTCAAGCGTGTAAGACGTGTGGTTGGAAAAATATTTTGAAACGGGACTTCTCAGTGTATTTGAAATGGAATAACATTGAAAGAAATGAAGCATAAATATTCAGTGTGAAGCTTGAGGAATGAGTCTAAGATTTTACTTATTTACTTTAGAGAGGAAGACGAAGAAAGACAGGAAACACCAATGCATGGTTGCTTCTCACTCGCCCCCTACTGGAGACCTGACCCACAACCCAGGCACGTGCCCTGACTGGGAATCTAACCTGTGAGTCCTTGCTTCACAAGCAGGCACTCAATCCACTGAGCCACACAAGCAAGGGCAGGAAAGATATTATTTTATAGTTGTAAAAAACTGAAAGAGAAGCAATTCCTAGTTTTCCTCTTTAACATAGAGAAGACCTGTAGAGGGGAAAGGTCACTGCAGTTCAGGGAGTGAAATTGCCTCTCCTGCTACTAAAAGTCCTTAGTCTGAGCAATATTAGCAAAGACCTTAATGTGGGCTTTCTGGATTTCTGAAGAAAATCACTGCATAAAAATAAAAAAGATAGACTGTGAGTGGACATTGTGTCCACTCTGTCTATGTGGACTCAGTGGACTCTGTCTCCTGACAGAGCTTGCATTGTCACTACAATAAGGATTCATGGAGCAGGTCTTACCAGGAGACAAGTTGTGTGGCCCAGGCATTCTCACCAACATCCCTGACCAAACCTTTCTCTTTCAGCAGAACCAAAGCCAGAGGTCCACCCATGTTCCTCCTGCTCTCTGGCCTTCTCCAGTCAGAAATTCCTCAGCCAACACTTGAAACTCAATCATCCCTCTCAGATTCTCCCGGGAACATCTGCAAGAAAACACCTCCAAGCAGAGGAACCCTGTCCAGAGGATCAGAATCAGCAGCAGCAACATACTCGTACACACAGCTGGAATGATAAAGCTGAAGGTCAAGAGGTCAAAGAAAGGTCCAAACTTTTGCTTAAAAGGATCAATCAGAGAAGAATCTCAAGACCCTTTTTCCAACCTTCCAAAGAACAAATGAGCTCTAGTGAGCATGAGAGAATGATGGAGGAGGAGCCCTGCAGAGGCCAGAAAGAGAGTCCAGAGGGTACAGGCAAGTTATTTGTGAAAGCAGGAATGTCAAAAATTGTAACAATGGAGCACAGAGGGTGTTGGCAAGGCTTCAGTGATGGGTCACATCTCATCACACACCAGAGGACACACTCAGGGGAGAAGCCCTATGTTTGCAGGGAGTGTGGGCGAGGCTTTTCACAGAAGTCACATCTCATCATACACCAGAGGACACACTCAGGGGACAAGCCCTATGTTTGCAGGGAGTGTGGGCGAGGCTTTTCACAGAAGTCACATCTCATCACACACCAGAGGACACACTCAGGGGACAAGCCCTATGTTTGCAGGGAGTGTGGGCGAGGCTTTACATACAAGTCAGTTCTCATCACACACCAGAGGACACACTCAGGGGACAAGCCCTATGTTTGCAGGGAATGTGGGAGAGGGTTTTCACAGAAGTCACATCTCATCAGACACCAGAGGACACACTCAGGGGAGAAGCCCTGTGTTTGCAGGGAGTGTGGGCAAGGCTTTACACGGAAGTCACATCTTATCACACACCACAGGATACACTCAGGGGAGAAGCCCTATGTTTGCAGGGAGTGCAAGCGAGGCTTTACATGCAAGTCAGTTCTCATCAGACACCAGAGGACACACTCAGGGGACAAGCCCTATGTTTGCAGGGAGTGTGGGCGAGGCTTTACATACAAGTCAGTTCTCATCACGCACCAGAGGACACACTCAGGGGACAAGCCCTATGTTTGCAGGGAATGTGGGAGAGGCTTTTCACAGAAGTCACATCTCATCACACACCAGAGGACACACTCAGGGGACAAGCCCTATGTTTGCCGGGAGTGTGGGAGAGGCTTTTCACAGAAGTCACATCTCATCAGACACCAGAGGACACACTCAGGGGAGAAGCCCTGTGTTTGCCGGGAGTGTGGGCAAGGCTTTACACAGAAGTCACATCTCATCACACATCACAGGATACACTCAGGGGAGAAGCCCAATTTTTGCAGGGAGTACGGGAGAGTCTTTACACGGCAGTCAGTTGTCATCAGACACCAGAGGACACACGCAGGGGAGAAGACCTATGTTTGCGGGTGGACTGAATGAGTCATTAGCATTAAGTTGGATATCAACAGCCATAGGAAGTCTCTGCCCCCTTACTTTCCTCAAGATTGTAAGTACAGAAGTAACATTAAACAAACCCTCCAGTTTCATGACAAGAGATGAAATGGATAAATAGTTCCATGAGTAATAGTGGGGTATCAGCACCAATCTCTTTCATGGTTTTTTGATGGCCTTTTTCTAAAGAGTTTTGTCTCCATACAAATGGAGACAAAAAGCCCACATCCCTCATTCCCCCATCACTGAAAGCAGAGTTTGGGAAGAGCCACAAAGAACTCATACTCGCAGCCACATAAATTCAACCCCTACAAATGGGTGAGTCGGGGCTCAGTCTACTTTGGTTACTGCCCAGAGAGAGAGGGATTTGAGACAGACTCACCAGAGAAGGGAATTCCCCAGACTCCTGGGAAGTGGAGCCTTTTCTCTTAGTAGACTCCCTGCCCTCCTCCCTTGGCTTCTCTTGGCTCTTCTAGCTTCTACAACCTCCGGAGCCTCAGAGCTGAACGGCAGGGAGGGATGTGTGCTTGTGCACAGACGTGAGCCTGGCTCAGTCTGGGCACCTGGTCTTCCTCACTCTCCTTGCTGCCCCTTCAGGGTCATCATTTCCTGGTAAACAGCATACAGATTCCACATCAGTCCATAGTGGGTGTGAGTCTCAGCTCTGTCTTCTCCAGCTGTGTGACCTAAGACAAGATTCTCAACTTCTCTCTGCCTGATTCCTAGTCTGTACACTGGAAATGGGAACTCCAGCCTTTCAGTTTGACATTCAACGTTGAGTGAGCACAGACAGAATCTGGCAAGTGGATCACTGAGATCACAAGTCCTGCTGAACAGCCATCAGTGCCCTTGTCTTCTGGGTCTTTAGCGTTGGACAAGGGAAGATAAGGACAGGGTCGGGATCTGTAGCCAAACTCAGATTTTGAGCAGACCCCATTGCTTTCTCCACATAGACTCAACTGCCCTGAGAAGGAGGCATGAGGTGGAGGATGTGCCTTCCTCCAGATTACCACCCTCTCTCTGAGCTTGTGCACTCAGAGCCTCCTCAACATAGGCTGGTGGTACTGAAAATACCCTGTGAAACAAGACCCTCACCCACCCTTGCTGAGAACTGACACTGAGAGCAACATCTGCCCACACTGGTGTGTTAGGTAGGATAGATGGTAAGCCAAGGCTGGGAGGATGAGGAAGACCTGTCACCCACCAACTCAGCAGTCCTGACCTTGGGCCATTTCTATTGCCAGATGGTCCAGCATCACAAGAAACTCCATGTCACCACATGGAAATTCTAGGTATCATTTCCACCATCTGGGAAAGAAAGGCTTTCAAACTATTCATCCCAAGGCCTAGAAGATAGGAGGGGGTCCACAGCACTCAAGGAAGGACCCGTAAAACAAAACTGGCTAACTGTTAGCCCCTGTCCACTATCTGTTTTATGAAGGGTCCCTAATGTTTACAGAAAGAGCCCATAGATAACTTTGGGTGACTGCTTTAACTGTAACTGTCTCCTGTCACAGATCTGTTTTACAAGATAACCAAATGGGGTCTGAAGCCAGATAAGGATTTGGGCTACCGACGCCCACACATACCTACGTTTGAGTAGTCTCATCCCCCATAGAAGCTGGCACCACTTTTACCTGTCAATCAATATGTAAGTTGTTTGCCCCCATCGCACCAACTATATAAGTTCTCAGGACAAAGGACCTGGTGCTCTTGCCATCCAACTTCTTGCCTTTCATTCCCATCTCAGCAAGACCTATCCTCTTCCATGAGAACATATCACTAACAAATCCTGCTTGCACGCTAATACACTTGCTGATCTGTAATCCTTTAGTGCATTGGCAAGAAGAACTGAGTTTCTCCTGTGGCAGGTGCACCCAGTCTGCATATGGCATTCATGAAGCCTGCAGCACAGGAGCTTCTGTAATGCACTCTCCTTGTACCTGGGTCCCAAGGGCTGAATACACCACTGACACCATCTTGAAATTAGTACTTACTGTATCTTTACACTTTTGTTTGTGAGGTCCAGCCAAATGGTATAATGAACATGCAAAATGTTGTTCATTCCTGGCCACCCATTCCCAGATATTGTCCACATGGCCCAGGAGGACAAAATTCCAGTGGGCCCAATGGTGGGAGTCCAGCAAGATTCAAGGTGAGAACAGGGTAAACATCTACATCTGCATAAGCATAAGGAAGGGTGCTAACAGCTCCCACAGGTCACACTTTTCTTCGAACCAGAGCTGAATTCAATACACAGAGATGGCAATTAGTGCGGACCCCATCATACCCTCTCCTGCGTGAGGGAAACCTAAGTATGACCCACCCTGTTCCTGCTGGGGTGGATTCACCAAAAGGGGACACCCACCCCCATGACCAGGAACAATGACCTTTCTGTCCTCCCAGTGCCAGGCTTGTGAAGAAGAGTGTCTACATAAACTATGTGGATTTCAATAATAAATACCCACTATTATGTTCTTTTATGCTTTTTTAAAAGGAAGGTGTATTTCTTGGGTTTTGTTTCCCTTCCCTGTTTCTCCCCCACCACCACAGCCCAGAGAGAACACCATAAACTCAATATTCTGTGGCTTTTAGCATGGGCCATGGGAGAGGGGCAGAGTCCTGGTGTAATGGTGGCAGAGGGGCTGGCATTGAATATAGTGGGAAGGGGAACCCACACACTGCCACGTGATGCTCATCATGACACCCCACCAGGACAGACCCTGGAGTTCTCCCAGAAGGCTTAGTGATTCAAGATGAGTAGAGAGGTCTGTTCCCTCTCCCTCCCCTTCAGCAGCAAACCACATTCCTAGTATAGCTGCCAGCCTCCAAGGTACCCCCAAAATGCACATGCCCTTGTATACTCCCTCCTTCACACAACTGAGCTAATCTGTGTTGTGAAAATGTGTGTGGCTCTATCAAACTGGTTTCAAATGATGTTAAAGGCAAGTATGTGGGACCAGAGCGAGGCGATGGGGCGGCGGTGGGAGAGGGTTGGGGGCTGAATTGACATTTTTACCAGACCGATTTGAGGCAAGTTTCAAACAGCATTGCAGCCTCGAACTCCTATACAATATTATTTTTTCTCTCATGGAACTTAAGCTAGCATTCACTGAGAATAAATAGATGAGGAGAAAGTTTTGTGGTTCAGGACTTCTGGAATAGACTCCTACAGAAGCTCCAAAATGAATCACGTTTCAATTACAGAATAACTGCATCTAAATGATGGTAAAGATGCTCTGTACCAAAACTTGAGAAAGAAATCTTCACCTTTGAATGCACAGGTCAGAAACAAAGCTAGAAATGTACAAATTTTGCAAGATATGAGGAACCCAACATGGAAAACAAAGGGAGGAAACGAGCCCATAGACACATCCTGAAGGGCAGGTACATACAATGATGGTGCTTGTATTTTCCTCTACTTTTTTTGTATCTCTTGTAGAACCACTATATATAAGTTTTACCTTTGCATTGTTTAAGGAAGCTGCAACAGACAAAGCACATTACAAACGACTTTCACGCACACTTGGCACTTGTAAGAACCTGCCTCTGTTATGCTACAAAGCCACTTCCAAGAAATGTCACATAAAACATGCTTATTGCTCCCTTGGTCGTTACTCTGCAGACCAATCACAAGGTAACTGTATAGTCCTGACATTTAGATGTTTTTGAGTGCACTTGTAAATACCACTGCCATCAAAAGTCATTGATACTTGCCTGCAGACCTAAACTAACATGTCATTCCCCAAAATGGCCACGAGATGGCAGAAAAGACCAACACTTGGAACACATAGTGTACTATGGGCTTGGCCACAAGGTTCCTGGGAGTTTTCCACTAAGATGCAAATGACAGGCACATTTTTCATTTTCCTCAACAATGTGACTGGACAGCAGTTTCATCGTTTACTTCCATTGTCCTCTGCTATCATTTGGTCAACTTCACCATTCCATCTGCCCACAACATTGTTATCTTGGGGAGCACAGAACTCTTCCAGGTGCCTTTTGCAGTCTTCCATGGACCAGAAATTTCTCTCCACTAAGAGAATCTAGAAAAGGCTGAAATTAGAAAAGGCTGAAATACCTGGCAGTCCAAGGACACAACGTCTTATGAGCACTGCAGATGAATCGGGACTGCCCAGCCAGGCTGGAACTGTTATCCCTTGGTCACCAAAGAGAAACGTGCTCTCTCACCTTTCCCTGATGGACGATTATGCGTCTTCTGCTGACAAATTCAGGTCTCTTTCACTGGGACAGTGAGTTCGGTTGGTCCAATGGGGAGCAGTGATTTGGAAGTAACTGCCTGGTTTCTGGTGAGGAGCTCCTACTATAGTACTCCCCAGTGATCCCACCATGTCCACAGCATCGCCTCCTTTGGGTGCAGACCACTCTTTGGAGTGGCTGCTGGTGGTTCCCTTCATGTGCTCACGATTTCTCCCAGTCCCCTTGGTGTCCAATATCAATGATTCATCCCCCTGCCCACAATTTGTCTTGGTAATACAACAGTTTCTTTGTGTATCAACAAACAATCTGATGTGGAAATGTGGTCAGACAGGGATCCCTCCACTTCACCCCTTAACTTCTGTGAACCCAAACATCAAAGCAATTAATGTAACCATACTGGTGGAAATGATTTTCGACGCTTCATTTGGGTGTTTTGAGTACGTCACCTGTCTCCCGCGTGGCATAATGGGTTCTGTCCTTGATGAACGTCTGGACTGGATGGCTATCGACTGTGACTGGTCCATCCAACGGGTGGGGAGCCCTCACACGAGAAATCTCCAATGAGAAACTTCACAAACCACTTCTGACATGTTCAATCCATCACACCACCTTCTTCCGCAAGCCACAAATCTTGTATTCCATTTAACTGGCCTTTTAACCCTCTTGATGTGCCGCAGTGTAATGTACTGAAAATATTACTTCTATTCATCCATTTTCAATATGAAAATGGCCATACACTCATTAGTTCTGATGAGTTTTTCTTAAACACATGCTGATAGGACGTCTGTCATGATACAGTTTAACCAAAGGGTTTCAAATAAAGTTAAAGACTAGTGCGTGAACCAGAATCACATGATGGCAGAGTGAAGGCAGGGGTGGTGAGGGACTGAACTGAGTGTTTGGCCAACCCAG